CGCGTACGACGCCATCCCGCTGGATCCCCACGAGGGCACGAGCCCACGAAAGCGGCAACAGTTTCGCAGTTCGCAGCCCAGGGTTGCGAGGTCTACGTTTGATGCGCGCACGACACCACTCCGCTGAACCTCCCAACAGCTCACGAAAGCGGAGACTATTGCGCAGTTCGCAGCCCCCCAGTAGAAGCAGGCCCCCCGGGGAGGAAGAGGAGGACGGAAGGAGGAGGAGGAGGAGGGGCAGAGGAGAGGAGGATAGGAGGAGGTGGAGGAGGAGGAGGGGAGGAGGGAGGATGAGGGCAGAGGAGGAGAGGAGCAGAGGAGGAGGAGGAGGAAGAGGAGGAGGAGGAGAGGAGGAGGAGGAGAAGGAGGAGGAGAAGGAGGAGGAGGAGGAGGGGCAGCAGGAGGGGCAACAGGAGGGGGAGGAGGAGGAGGAGGAGAAGAGGCTGGAGGAGGAGGATGGAGGAGGAGGATGGAGGAGGAGGAGGAGGAGGAGGAGGAGGAGGCGATGGAGGAGGCGAGGGAGGAGGAGGAGGACGAGGAGGAGGAGGAGGAGGAGGAGGAGGAGGAGGAGGAGGGAGACCAGCAGCGCTCTACTCAAAACGAGAACCCAAGGGATGGCAGGGACAAAACACACTAACAGGGGGCACAAGGCAAGAGGAGGGAGGGAGGAGAAGCAGGAGGAGGAGGAGAAGGAGGAAACGCGCGAGCAGTAGTCTATTCAAAACAAGAACCAAATGCGGGAGAGTTGGGAAACATCTGGATGAAATGCTGGTCCCGGGGGAGGGGTTGAGACTTCTAGGGGCTCGCTTCGGGCCCCGGGACCGTCAAAAGCCAGTTGAGGACGAAAAGCCAGCCCCGAGAACGGATTGCGCCTTCGAAGCGTGTGAGCAGTGAGGAGGACCACAGAGACGGCTGATGAGCTCGCCATGGATCTCCGGAGGCCTCTGGAGGACCCAGACCCCCAGACCATCTTGTCCACAGCTTCCGTCCCCCGGGGTCAGGTTTCGGGCGCCAGAGCCGTCATAACACTTATCCGGGAACAGAAGGCAGTCACAGTGAAGGGGCCGAGGTGTCTTTAGGACCTCCTGATTGAACAATAAGCACGACACAGGAAAGCTGCGGGTCGCCCTTCACCATACCAAAAAAGAAAGAGATTATGCAGTTGTTCGTACTTCGTTGTTTTCCTCTCGCGACCCTTCCCGCACAGGACCTTGGACCGTCAATCAAAAACATATTATAACAAACAACCCGCTGACGGGAAAGCCCCTGGGTTCAGGACCCGTTTGCTTCAGGGCAATTGTGTTTCATGCCAATTGTGGTGGCGCACTCGCGCGTGTGCAGAAACATGCAGGCAGCAGCATGCAGTACATGACCGCAGTAATCTGTCACTGAACTCTTGAAGAGTAGCCCAGGGCCGCGAAGGCTCGAACACTAGAGGAGAGTTGATCTGCACAGCTCTTGGCATGGCTCGTTCCACGGATGGTCGGAGCGGGCGTGGGAGAACGCATTCGTATTGGCCAGATATTGAGAACATCGCTTGATAATAACTTGGTGGAAGCAGCAGCTTTTGGATCCGTCCACAAGTGTTTTTCCGATCCGCCCCGACACAGAGCAATGCATGTGTGGACTTGCGCGTGTTAATGTACCCATGCTTTTTCAGTGATGTCGAAGGAGAGCCAACCGCGGGGATCAAAGACAACCGCTTCGGATCCTTCCCAGTAGACCCGACCGCAAGGCACAGGCCTTTATACGCGAGGCTGTTTTGTGATGCCCTTCAGATGATCCAGCCCTGACAACACCACAGAGGTCGTATGTCAAGTCACTCCTGTGCATCTGGAGCGCTGGTGGGCATCCAAAGCATCACGTCGAGGGCATTCCGATTCGGATTGCCTCGTGAGTCCCTTCTTGCATCCCCGTGTGTTCAAGGACATCAAGAAGGGCGCTACCACTCACGCATGCGCTAAGGGGTAAGGTGTTCGTTCGCCAATGGTGAGACCAAGCATCCAATGTGAACCCAAAGCAGCAAGTTGGGGACATTACAGTGTTTTACGATATCTCGATCAGCCTCTCGCATGCACACGCACACTTGTTTCCCGCCGACGCCGAACTGGGAAGGCAACCGGGGGTGACACTGCCGCGGGCTACGCTGACAACGAATCTAACAGTAAATCAAAACGAGCACCCTGTCAGAAAGCGTACGCTAGCGGGGTCTTCCAGGGTAATTTCGGGTCGGGCGAAAGGGGGGGGTTGGGAAAGGGGGGGTTACGAAATCTGCTGTATGTAGCTGGTTTCGGCCCCACCGAGGGGCCCATTCCTCGATACATAGCCGCCTCCGGCGCCGGGAGGCGCCGGGAAAATCAGCTACGTGAGCTGATTCTCAAACCCCCCTTTTGCTATCCCCCCCTTTCGCCCGACCCGATAATTCCTTGGCCTCGGGACGCGAGGTTCGGCGAGGTCTCCTGCCAGACCAGCGCGCCTCGCATGCTCGCCCAGCACTCAGGCCCCATCGAGGGGCCCCATCGAGCGGGAAGAGGTGGAGGGGACGCAAGTGGAGGATTGGAAGAGCAGGAGGGGGATGCGGAGACGGGAGGGGGACGAGGTAGGAGGAGCAGGCATCTGCAGAAGGTGTTTCCCCATAGCTGGAGTTCAGGCTCTTGCTGTTCCCCTTCTCCTAAAGTATGGGTCTGCTTTCATGATTGAAGCGCCTCCACCTCCTGACTGACTCCCGTGTCCTTGTTCGTTGTTCTCCCCCTCTCTCTCTTTATGTCTCTCTCTCTCTCTCTCTTTCCCCCCTTCTCCCTCTCATCAAACTCAGATTACGCATTCTAGGACTCACCCACAATCGGATACACTCAGACTCGCCACATCCAGGTCACTCATACTCGGACCCACTGACACGCAGACTCACCGACACTTACAGGCACACTCAGCCAAATGCTCACCGCGATGTAGAAGACGTGGCACTGGAGCATCCCAAGGATGTGCCGCCAGAGGTGGGGACGTTTGCCCGCTCGCGCCCAGATAGGTGGGGTCTCACGTTTTTTTGTTTGGTTGATCAGCTGTCTTTCTTTTTCACAGCCCCACGATCACCGCGATTTAGCAGGCGTGGCACTTGAGCACGCCAAGCAGGAGCCGCCAGGGATTGGGACGTTTGCCCGCTCGCGCCCAGATTATAGGGGGTGTTTCAGGCGGTTGGCCGATGTGGTTGATCATATTCCTTTCTCTTTCAGGGTTCTGTGCTCATCGCGACGCAGCAGGCGTGGCACTTGAGCACCCCAATGAGGTGCGGCCAGAGGTTGGGGACATATGCCCGTTCGCGCCCAGACAGAGATCTATGAGGTGGTTTGCCTGGCTGGTTGACCAGACTCCTTCCATCTCAGAGTTCCGTGCTCATCGCGATGCAGCAGGCGTGGCACTTGAGCCGCCACGGGTAGTGAAATTTGCCTGGCCGCGCTTTGTAAGGATGTCGACCGGCGGTTTGCCGATTTGATTGATCAGATTTTTGTTCCAGGGCCCTATGTTCGTCGCGATGTAGCGGGCGTGGCACTTATGCCCGGTCGCGCCCAGATTGTGGTGATATCTTAAATGGTTTGCTTGGTTGGTTGATCATATGGTTTTTTTTTCAGAGCTCCATGCGCATTGCGATGTAGCAGGCGTGGCACTGGAGCACCCCAAGGAAGAGCCGCCAGGTGCGTGGTCATTTGCCGTTCGCGCCCCGATTGTGGGTATGGCTCAGGCGGTTTGTCTTTTCGGTTGATCCGAATATGTCAACCAGAGCCCCATGCTCATCGCGCTGTAGCAGGCGTGGCACTGGAGCACTCCAAGGTGGGGTGCGCCAGGGGTGGGGTCATTTTCCCGTTCGTGCCAAAATGGTGGGTATATCTCAGACGTTTTTCTTGTTTGGTTGATCCGACTTCTCCCTTTGAGAGCTCCATGGTCATCGCGCTGTGGCTGGCGTAGCACTTGATCACCCACAGGGGGAGCCGCCAGGGGTTGGGACGTTTGCCCGTTCGCGCCCAGGTTGTAGGGATGTATCAGGCGGTTTCCCTGGTTGGTTGCTCAGATGTTTTTCGGAGCCGCATGCTCATGCGCATGTAGCCACTCCAAGTGGGAGCCGCCAGGGAACGCCCATTCACGTAGTTGAACATTGTTCGACGTAGACCTCACTGACGGGAACACCAAGAATTTTGAAGCACATCCCGGGATCCCCGCGTCGAATAACGTGCGGAATCTCTCATTCAGATCTTCCCATACGCAAGTCAATTTTGACATAGTCAGATCCATCCGTACTCAGTTTAGTCCTACTGAGACTTGCCCATACGTAGTCACGTCACTTGTACTTCTGACCAGTCCCGTACAGACTCACCCATACGCGAATTCACTCATGTTCAGACTCATGCGCACTCAATCCACCCACTCAGACTCACCCACGCTCAGATTCATTGACACCCAAACTCACCCATGTTACGCAGACCCACACTCACTCACACTAAGACACACCTTCGCTCAGGCTCATTTATATTTAAACCTACTCATGCGTGGACCCATTAATGATGTCACTCAGTCGCAATACCACCGCGATGCAGTAGGCAGTAGGCACAGGACCAGAGCATCCCAAGGAGGAGCCGCCATGGGGGAGGACAGTTGCCAGATCGCGGCCAACATGAGGAGACGTCTCGAGCGGGTCGCACTTTGGGCGTCCCCGACCATTCTGTCTTGAGAGCCCCGTGATCGCCGTGATGTAGCAAGCATTGCAGTTGGGCGCCCGAGGAACCGCCTGGGCAGGAGGGAGGAGACTTGCCCGGCCGCGGCCAACTTGCTAGGGTGTTTCGGGCGGTTTGCTCGGTTGGCGTCCCTGGCAGTTTGTTTGAGAGCAGCACAGCCACCGCGATATAGCAGGCAGAACAGTTCGACATCGGGCACCCGAGAAACCGCCAGGGTATTTGCCCGTTCCCGCCCAGATTGTGGGTATGTCTCGAGTGGTTTCTTGTTTGGCGTCCCCGACCCCTTTGTGTGAGACCCTATGAGCACCGGGACATAGCAGGCAAAGCAGCTGGGCACCCAAAAGAAGAACCGCCAAGGAGTGTTGAATGTCCTGGCTCGCGCCCAGAATGTGGTGATGCCTCGAGCGGTGCGCTCAGTTGGCGTCCCCAACCCCTCCCTGTTGAGAGCCCCAGGATCACAGAGAGCGAGAGCGCGCCGGAGGCGCTGCAGCAGGCGCACGCAGACGAGAGCGAGAGCGGCACGCATGGATCCAACCTCGGCACGCCGGTGCGCTCGCCGACAGCCCCCAGCGGGGAGGACCCCGAGATGGGGACTGGGCTCCGGGCCGCGGACACCCGCCCGCTGTCCACCGTGAGCTGCGACAGCAGGCTGGTCGCAAATGCTATGAGATTGCGCTGGGAGGAGCACCTGGGCGGCTTCGTCCGAAAGAGACAGCAAGTTTTGCTTCGTGGTCGTGATCCTTGAAGGGATACTCTAGTGGTCGAGTCGGCGATGATGCTCCGCTCCCTACAGGACGAAAACGCTGCCGCGGTGTTTCTCCATTTTGCGGCTCCGTTTCCTTCAAATTCGCAGCAATGCATCCGTGAATGCTTGGTGCACATCGGGGCCCCGCGAGAGCTGTCAACATCTTTCATAGTATGTGCAGCGAATAAAGGCGCACCATCTCCTTGAAGTGGCAGATCTTCGAAGGCTCAACCTGGCGTCGGGAGTGCGGCAGGGGTGCCCTCTCAGCCCCCTCATCTACGCCGTCGTGGCCGAGCTTCTCCTGGACGCTATCGAAGAGGGCTCGCCAGAGGCTTTCGTGGGGGCCTACGCGGACGACGCGGCGCATGTAACTACTCCCGGATTTCTGGAAGGCCGCGCCGGGCCCGGCCACCACGTTGATATCAGGCCTCAGGATCAACATGACCAAGTCCTTCTGACCCCCCTCAACTCAGCCACTTACGACGTTTTCTTTCGAGCGCAGGGAGGCGGCGCGGGCGGGGCCCCTGCGTGGGCCGCCATGCCCGCGCGCACCAGCTGCAATGCTTAGGTTTCCAGATGGGCCCAGGTAGGTGAGATTCTTCGCGGCGCAGAGCCTGGCGCAAATCTTTCAAGCCACGTGGATATGTGACAGGGCCAGCCGTTTGGATCACATTGGAACGCGAGGGTCTACAACACGTTCGCCGTGCCGGTTTTGGGATACGCGGGCAACTAGAGGCGCCCCCCTCTTGTTTCGTTGCTTCGACCAGCCGGCCCCTGCGCTGGGTGGCCACGGGCCCGGGCGAACTGGCGACCGCGGAGGACCTGTTGGTGCTCCAGGGATCGTTCGGACTGGCAGATCCTTTGGCACCCAAGATCTGGGCGGCGCAGTTCGATGGCGCTCGCGCCCCCCGAGCGCGTTTCCTGGCGGACGTCGGGCGTTTGCACGAGGCACTGCGCAACCCTCCACTCGAGCACTCACGCTTCGCGTGGAAAGCATTGCACGGGCGCAGCTTCGTCTAAACCTTGGCCCAGGCTGAGGCGCAGCTCCAACGGCGCCAGGCCATCGTGGAGGGCTTGCGACGCTTGCGCCTCGCTGGCAACCGGCCCATCGCCTGGGGCACCGCATGCCGGAAGGAATGCCAGCGCACGGCGCGCGCATTCCCGGCTGCTCGCCTGGCCCCAGAGCCCGCAATTCGGATAAGAAAGAATCAGGAGGGAAAGAAACACACAGACACAATGAATCCTCCATTCTCCAGAAAATATGGGAAAATATGGGAATTGGTGGGGAAGACAGAAACCCCGAAAATATGGGAAAATATGAGGATTTGTTTATTTGTGTGTATTTATTTGTGTGTCCTGGGGCCCCTTCAGAGTTGGAGGATCGACGCCGCCGCGCCGCCATCGTCGGCAGAGCGGAGGAGCGCGCGCCTATGCGCGGCAAGGCCAGCGGGCGCCGCCTGCCGCAGGTCGCAGGTGGGCCTGCGCCGCCGCGGGCCCAAGCAGCAGCGTTATCGACGCTCTTCAATGCCACGGCACGGCGCGTCCAAGGACATGCTCTTTGCCTCTTCGGTTGCGGCGAGGGCCCCGAGGGCAGCAACGAGCATTCTTGCCTTAGTCCAGCGCAAGCTGCGCCTCGACCTGGACATTTTCTGCAACCTCCTTTGAAGGGTGATTACGCAACAAATGTGATACTATTGTCTTTATATGCATGTGGCGCATCACCTCTAGATTGTCAGCCCATGCGATATCCGGCGCCAGGCGTATTATTCGCGACAAGGTGCATTGATTTGTAAGAAACGTTGGAATTGCACGTTTTGAGCTGCCCCTGAAACACAGAACCCAGTGCATTTTCAAGTTTTCGACGCTTCGCGTATCCCAACCAGCCCATCCAGAAACGATCAGCAGGGGAGTTGGTAAATCAGGGGCGGATGCAGTCGCGCAGCCGTCTTCGAGAAAACAAGGATCACACATAGCTTCCCGCATTGAAGTTTAAGGTGGAAGTCGGTGCAAGTTACGGTGGTGCTTCAATAT